TTTTTTTTTTGCCTTGACTAACCGTCAATAAATAGAACCAAATAAATTATTTAGAGCAATTCAGATTGTTTCAAATGTCTTCCTCTCCCCCCCCTCCCCATTTAGTCATCCATCTTTTTCTCCTTTACCTTCGTATTGTTTTGAGTATTCACTTTACGCTCAGCACTTTCACTTACAGGAAAATTTAGAATTAAAAACAAAACTGGGTAGATCCTTCGTTTCAACTGTCAAAGGAAATTCAAAGGAACAAAATCTGTTTTTATCGTAATTAGTTCCCACCTATTAGAAAAACAATTATTTGTTTTTTCCTCCTCTAATTGCCTTCATAAACGTTTTCTGAATATGAAAAAATTCAAAAGTGCATAATTGTTTCTGACACAAAACCTTAAGATTTACCTTTTTTTAAAAAAAAGCCTTTTTTCCGCTTAAATCTACGCTTGTATTAACAGATTTTTTCCCATACATTTTTCGCAATTTTATCAAAAAATACCTTGGATACTTAAGATTAATTAACAGCTTCTCCAGTTGATTGTTTTTAAGCTGCCAATAACATTTCATTTGAAAACTATAGAACTGAATATTGAAAATGAAACAATAAGAAAAAAACAACTTTGCAAATGTTTACCGCTTATTAGGAAAACAGAAAGATTTAATTTTAATGCTGTAAAGCAACGATTAAATGACAGGAACCAGACTCAACAAGACTTTTTTCTCAAACAAATTTCTCATAAATTTGTCAATCACTCATTTACCTGATACTTAATGACAAAAACAACAGTAACGACAATAGCCCTAAAGCCAGTAGCGCAAAGAAAGACCAAGCTTTTTTTTTAAGAACGGCTGTTTTTCTTCTCCCTGAAATAAAACTAATAGAAACCAAAAGAAGACTCAAAGAAGAAAACAAACGAAAAACTTTTCCTTTGATCTTCATAGAAAATGTATGACTTTTGCAATTCTATGGAAACATCCAAAACCATTAAAGAATTTTGTCCTTTATACCTGCACCTCCTACTCCTTCCTTTCCCTTTCTTCATTTTCTTTCACCCTCGACTACTTTTTTCCCACCTTATTTGTTGCCCTGACCAACAATCAATTTACAACTTCATTAACAAATGCATTTTTCTTGAAGATCTGCTTAAATTTGTTGTTATTACAACTGTTCTACCAAAGCAAAAATGTAAGAAAACTATAAAAAACTACCTCATGCAAAAAAAAATTGAAAAAAAACTTCTGCAGTTCTTAAAAGGCTCAACAGATGTGAAATAGTAATTATCGGTCTGATACACTTACCTGCTTCATTGCTGCTGTTACAAGTAAATGCTCCCCTGCCTACTCCCTGCTCCAAATACTTTCACCTAACTCTCCAGTACTGTTATAAACTAACAATCAGTAAAAGTTAAACCAATCATCTACAATAGTTGTCATTTAATTGCGAGTAAAAAACAGTTTAGTAAAAAACAAAAAAAAATTAAAAAAATAACTCAGTAAAACTAAACACCTACAAAAAAAAATTTATAGATTAGGTCAAAAAAAAAAAAAAAAAAG